GAGGCGGCGGCGGCGGCCTTGGTCCCGCCCGGGGCGGAGGGAAGGGAGGGAGAAGGGGCAGTGGCGGGGCCTGCGAGAAAGAGGGGGATGGGCCGCCCGCCCCGGGGGAGGGGGCAGCGTGGCCTCGCCCGCCCCCTGCCCGCCCCGGCCACGGGGGACGGGCCTTACCCCCCACTATTCGGCCGCCCGCCTGAGGCTCCTCCCGCCGGGGGCTGGAGCCGCGGGGGCGGCCCGAACAGTGCAGGCCCCGCCCGGGCCAACCGCCTCCCTGGTCCGCCCTCTGGTCGCCGCCTGCCCCAAGGCCCTCCCCTCCCCCCGTAGATTTCCCCTCCCCCCCCCCGCCGTCCCGCCCTTTCCACGCCCCTCACCCCGAAACCGCCCTTTCCTTCTAGGGCCCGCCCTCTGTCCGCCCCGAAACCTCCAGATTCCTAAGCCCTGGACCCCTTTAGTCCTTTGGCAGAATTCACAAATGTTTTCCCACTCACACTTTTTATTTGTTCTTTTTTCTTTGCCCCTCTTCTGCTCTGGGTGCTTTTTACACTTCAAGTTTTCTCTTTCTCCATATCCTTTGACCCTAATTTTAGCAAGCTTTCCATCCACCCACATGTTGTTTTTTGCCTTACCTATCCTCCTTTTTCTCCCCAGGATACTTTTTTGTATTTTGAAACTCTTTGAACATGTCCACCACCCCTTACATATCCTATGTGAAAAGTACATTTTTAATGTTTTCTGGGTTTAATTTTGTGCAAGGGAGAATTGAGGCCCAGTTTTAGTGCTACTAAGCCTAGTTTGTGTTCTGTATGTCCTACAACTGCCCTTTCTCCAATCCACTTTTTTTTTTATACTAGTACCTTTCATCTTACTGTATTTCTTTTTCTTTGTAGTGTCCCTTACTCCTCCTCACCTCACCTCACCCTTTTTCTTCCCCTAACTTTAAGTTGTCTTTTAATTCCTTTTAGACCAAGATCACTCCATGGATGAAATGACAGCTGTGGTGAAGATTGAAAAAGGAGTTGGTGGCAATAATGGGGGCAATGGTAATGGTGGTGGTGCCTTTTCTCAGGCTCGAAGCAGCAGCACAGGCAGTAGCAGCAGTGGAGGAGGAGGAGGGCAGGTAAGTGATGATCAGGACAGAGTGGGGGAGATGTTAAGAGAATGTGAATATTTTTAGATGGTTATCTTTTCACAGAAACATTTTTAGGAAAGAACTAAGCCATTTTGTAGCTAGGAAAGTTAACATAGTGAAACAAATGATTGGGAGATCCCCAAAGATGAGGATTTCAGGAGTATAAATAGGTCAGCTTTTCCTTCCTTCCTTCCTTTCCTCCTTCCTTTTTCCCCCTTTTTATGTGCACTATTTTGCTGTTTATTTGTTTTATACTACCCCCTGGGCTGGCAGCTGGGTATCACTAAACTAATCCTCTCCTCTCCCTTATTTTCTGGCCAGGAATCCCAGCCATCCCCTCTGGCTCTGCTGGCAGCAACTTGCAGCAGAATTGAGTCACCCAATGAAAACAGCAACAACTCCCAGGGCCCAAGCCAGTCAGGGGGCACAGGTGAGCTTGACCTCACAGCCACACAGCTCTCACAGGGTGCCAATGGCTGGCAGATCATCTCTTCCTCCTCTGGGGCTACCCCTACCTCAAAGGAACAGAGTGGCAGCAGTACCAATGGCAGCAATGGCAGTGAGTCTTCCAAGAATCGCACAGTCTCTGGTGGGCAGTATGTTGTGGCCGCCACTTCCAACTTACAGAACCAGCAAGTCCTGACAGGATTACCTGGAGTGATGCCTAATATTCAGTATCAAGTAATCCCACAGTTCCAGACCGTTGATGGGCAACAGCTGCAGTTCGCAGCCACTGGGGCCCAAGTGCAGCAGGATGGTTCTGGTCAGATACAGATCATACCAGGTGCAAACCAACAGATCATCACAAATCGAGGAAGTGGAGGCAACATCATTGCTGCTATGCCAAACCTACTCCAGCAGGCTGTCCCCCTCCAAGGCCTGGCTAATAACGTACTCTCAGGACAGACTCAGTATGTGACCAACGTACCAGTGGCCCTGAATGGGAATATCACCTTGCTACCTGTCAACAGCGTTTCTGCAGCTACCTTGACTCCTAGCTCTCAGGCAGTCACTATCAGCAGCTCTGGGTCCCAGGAGAGTGGTTCACAGCCCGCCACCTCAGGGACTGCCATCAGTTCTGCCAGTTTGGTATCATCGCAAGCCAGTTCCAGCTCCTTTTTCACCAATGCCAATAGCTATTCAACAACTACAACCACCAGCAACATGGGAATTATGAACTTTACCACCAGCGGATCAGCAGGGACCAACTCTCAAGGGCAGACACCCCAGAGGGTCAGTGGGCTACAGGGGTCTGATGCTCTAAACATCCAGCAGAACCAGACATCTGGAGGCTCTCTGCAAACAAGTCAGCAAAAAGAGGGAGAGCAAAACCAGCAGACGCAGCAACAGCAGCAAATCCTTATCCAGCCTCAGCTAGTTCAAGGGGGACAGGCTCTCCAGGCCCTTCAAGCAGCACCATTGTCAGGGCAGACCTTTACAACCCAAGCTATCTCCCAGGAAACCCTCCAGAATCTCCAGCTTCAGGCTGTTCCAAACTCTGGCCCCATCATCATCCGGACACCAACAGTGGGGCCCAATGGACAGGTCAGTTGGCAGACTCTTCAGCTGCAGAATCTCCAAGTTCAGAACCCACAGGCCCAGACAATCACCTTGGCCCCAATGCAGGGTGTTTCCTTGGGGCAGACCAGCAGCAGCAATACCACCCTTACACCCATTGCCTCAGCCGCCTCCATCCCTACCGGCACGGTCACTGTGAATGCTGCTCAGCTCTCCTCCATGCCTGGCCTCCAGACCATTAACCTCAGTGCATTGGGTGCTTCAGGGATCCAGGTGCACCAGCTTCCAAGCCTGCCCTTGGCTATAGCAAATGCCCCAGGTAAGGCTTTCAATCTTTTGCATTCATTTCCAGAGCTAACTAGCTTAACTGAAACTGTTGAGTCTAAGGAAGGAAATAGAGATTTTTGTGGGTAACAGTTTCTAGAAGGCACGTTGATCAGAGAAATAGAATGATTCTATTTAAGTCATTTGGAACCGACTTAACGGAAACTTTTTTTTCAGTTAATCTTATGAGAAAGGAGCATTTCTGGGCAGTGTCTTTGGGGTCACTGTACTTCCAGGGCTTTTGGTGCTACAGAACAAGGGTCAGCAAACTTTGTTCTGTAAAGGTTCAGATAGTAAATATTTTAGGCCTTGTGGACCACGTAGTATTCTTTTTTGTTTTTCCCTTACAACCCTTTAAAAATGTAAAACCAGGGTGCCCGGGTGGCTCAGTGGGTTAAAGCCTCTGTCTTTGGCTTGGGTCATGATCTCAGGGTCCTGGGATGGAGCCCCGCATCAGGCTCTGCTCAGCAGGGAGCCTGCTTTCCTCCATCTCTCTGCCTGCCTCTCTGCCTACTTGTGATCTCTCTGTCAAATAAATAAATAAAATCTTTAAAAAAAAAACAAGAAAAAAAACATTCTTATCTCAAGGGCTTTATTTGGCCTCTTGGCCCACCAGCATTGTAGAATGAGACTTGATTATAAACTTGACCTGTTTGTAGGACAGTTATTAAGTAATCAGGTATTTCTTCTGAATTGTAGCTCTTTAAGTAAGGGAAAAGTGATAAAGTGGGTTCCAGAAGGATTCTTTTCTTTTCTTTTCTTTTAAGATTTGTTTATTTAGGGGCACCCGGGTGGCTCAGTGGGTTAAGCCTCTGCCTTTGGCTTATGTCATGATCTCAGGGTCCTGGGATCTTGCCCCTCATTGGGTTCTGCTCAGCAGGGAGCCTGCTTCGCCCGCCTCTCTCTGCCTGCTTCTCTGCCTACTTGTGATCTCTCTCTCTCTCTGTCAAATAAACAAACAAAATCTTAAAAAAAAAAAAGATTTATTTGACACCCAGAGAGAGCACACACAAGCCCGGGAGAGGCACAGGGAGAGGGAGAAGCAGGCTCTCCCAATGTGGGGCTTGATCCCAGAACCCTGGGATCATGACTTGAGCCAAAAGTAGATGCCTTTTTTTTTTTTTTTAAGATTTTATTTATTTATTTGACAGAGAGATCATACGTAGGCAGAGAGGCAGACAGAGAGAGAGATGGGGAAGCAGGCTCTCCACTGAGCAGAGAGCCCCTTGTGGAACTTCATCCCAGGACCCTGAGATCATGACCTGACCCGAAGGCAGATGCTTAACCAGCTGAGCCACCCAGGCGCCTCTCTAGAAGGATTTTCAACAAAAAAGTTCATACTTAATTTTTAGTTAGCCAGAATATCCTACTCTATTCTCTGTTTAATTTTTAGTTAGCTAGAATATCCTACTCTCTGAGCAAGCTGATTAATTAAGGTTCAATTTTTTTAAACTTCTGGTTACCTTAAAAGTAGAATCCGTCTGCCTTCTCTTACACTAACGTGTATTTTCAGTAAGTTTCCTGGGTGATTCTGGTACTTCCTAGCTAGGAGAACCACTTCCTAGACTGTTTTGAAAGTAGCGTATGATTAAGAAGGGATGGGAGAGAAAAGGAGATGGCCTTAAATGGAGTGGGGAGGTGGAGCTGAGAGGAATTAGGAATAAGGAGAGCATTGAAGGGAAAGAGTCCTCAGGGAAGAGGTATGTATTGGAATGTATGTTTAATCAGTGGACCACAGTACTCAGTTATTCATTTTGAATAGTGTTTCACTGTTGGTTAGAGATAACAAAAGTGAAAAAAGTGAAAATCTATTTAGAATTTATTTTAAATTCTGTGGTGATGGAGCTAATCTTTAGTAAAGCACAAGAAGAGGATACTATAGAATTTTTTTCAAGACTTATTTATCTGAAGAGGGAGGGGCAGAGGGAGAGGAAAATCCAAGCCAACTCCACGCTTAGAGTCAACACTGGGCTCAGTCTCGTAACTCTGAGATCAGACCTGAGCCAAAAATCAAGAATGGGACATTTTAAACCATTGCGCCACCCAAGATACTATAGATTTTTATATTTAGGCATGATATCAAAAATTATGATGGGAAATAATTTAATATCACTGAATTTAGTTTTATTGGAATGTATGTGGGTTTGTAAACTGGTTACTTTTACTATAGAGTTATCATTTCATTTATGATTGGCTCTTATATAAAAGAGGGTAACAAATAGATAAGCGTATTTCCTGTCTCCTGCAGGTTTGGAAAATGGTGGCCAGGAGGTCTGCTCAAGTTCCCTAACTTTATTACATTCTTCTTTTTTTTTTAAAGATTTTATTTATTAGAACGTGAGAGAGAGATCATGAGTGGGGGTGAGGGGTAGAGGGAGAAGAAGACTTCCCACAAAGCTGGGAGCCCGATGTGGGACTCGATCCCATGACCCTAGGATCATGAGCTGAAGCCAGATGCTTAACCTGAGCCATCCAGGCTCCCACTTTCTTACATTCTTGAGGTGTGTTTAAGATGACTACATTTTGAGCCTTAACAAGACAACAGTTTTCTTAATGCATCGGAGACCTTGGAATAGAAAGTCTGAGCTGGAGGGGACCTAAGAGGTCATCTAGTAAAACTGCCTTATTTTCTAGATGAGGAAGGGCATGGAGTTACAGAGAAGCAATTAAGTAAGTGGTGAGACTACATAGTCAGAGCTAGGACTTGTACTTAGTTCTCCTAATGTAAGACTTAACCTATTAGTTTTAACTTAGGATGTTAAAAAAATCCTTTAGAGTATTAAAAATGTTTTAGAAAAGATATCTTTGCTTCTTTGAAATTTAATGCTCTAGAGCTGGCAGATGTTTCATAGGCTAAAAATTATAGCTGTAGAAGTGGGAGAAGTTAATGAAAACTGAACAACACCCTGAAAATTAGACACTTGCTACACTAGCATGTTTGTTTTCTCTTTACTCTTAGTTTGTTGTATCCAATAGCTTTGCTCTTCCTCAAAGGAAGGCAAAGCTGGGGGATAGTTCCATTTAGTAATAATTTGGATCCTTGCAAATTTCTAAAAAGTTTTAGAGCTTAGGCTTTAGAGAAAAGTTATGAGGCATTCTCATTGCTAAATCATGCTCTGGGGAAGTCTGCCATTTAATTTGTCATAGGATAGGGCTACCTGGCTATTATTGATGGTCTCAGAGCTCAAGAAAATGCATGCCTTTCTGTGAAGTAGCTGCAGCTTGACATTTGCTAGTGAGGGAATGAGTCTTTGAAAGGCCATTTTGTGAGAGTTGAGATTGGTTGCCTCATTAATAGTGGTTTCCGAAGATAAAAGTTTCCTCCTTTTTGGTTAGTCATACTTGTGCAACATTTTTCCCCCCTTCAATTGGTCAACTTTATCCTCAATGAAAGGTAATAAAATAATTTCCTAGAAGCTTTAGTGCTGCTCTGCTGTTGCCTGGCTGCTAAAAAATGTTTCATTTTACCCCTTTTTCTGGTATGTAGTAGTTTTACTGGAAAAACTCAATGTCTTGACAGTATAATGTAGTAGAGCCTTGGATGTGAAATCATCTATAGATAAGTGGATAGATACATAGCACTCTACAAATTGAAACATTATTACATGGTTGTGGAAGACTGCAACTTCCATGGTGTTCACTTAGTCTGTTTACATTTATTATTTTTAAAAATTATCTTTTAGAAATTGTTTAAGCTCTCCTGTTGACTTGCAGTGTTTATTTCTGTTTGCTGAATACACAGGCAAAGGCCTGTACACAGAAACTTAGCACCAAAGTAAGCCAGCCATCTCTGTGTTTTTTATGGCTCAGCCCCTGGTGGGTGGTAGTGAGGAAGGGACCACCCAGTAAACTGAGTTTAGTTTCTAGACAGTGAAATGATCTATGGCCTCTGAGGTTGGGGGTTTTTTTTTGTTTTTTTTTTTCCCCATCAGCTTTTTTGTAGTTTTTTGTTTTTAAATCGACACTGTTTCCCAGTTAAAGCCCCCTTTCCTCTCATTTTGTAGTTAACACTCTCACAGATCTTGTTTTTTTCCAGTTTAAAGTTTCAGGTTTTTTCTCAGACACTGCTGTGTCCTGAAAACTCTTCCACCAGGTTGAGGGGGGCCAGCTTTGAAAGACGTTTGTATGACTTCGTGGGAGTTCTGCTTAATAAAGAGTTCAGGGCTAGTCTTTGGCAGGAGAATAAAACATATTTCCTTGATGGCTATAATTCAGTCAAGAAGCAAACTTCAGGCACTAAAAATAAAAATTTCACATCTGCTTGGTTTTATCCAGGTCAGGAAAATGTGTTCTCTTAGAAGTTAAGTTGAATATGATACCAGAGTTAGTTTGCCAACAGTGTTGCTAAACCTGGGGTCAGATTGCTGAGAACTAATTTATTATAAAGTTGTATTTTAGACTAGGGTATTCGAACACTAGTTACAAGTAGGTTTAGATAATTTAAATGTGTTCAGAATTATTCTTTTGCAAAAGATCATTTGAGAGAATTTTCTCTTAATATACTTTATCAAATACATAATGTCAAATGTTTCTACATCGTTGCCTTTTTAATCTAATACTTGTTTCTGAAGGTGATATTAGTGCTTTTAACTGATTTCAATTTAAGTAGAAAAGGTCTCCTTTAAAACCAAGGTCCCTTCGTTGATTTGAAACAACTGAGAAGATAGTCCTCGGACCTTTTCAGTTGCTCCTATTTATTCATTCTGGTGGCTTTCTGTAAATGACGTCATTGTTAAATCACTTTGCATTGTGTAATGTGGCCATTTTAGTTCTTAATTAAATAACAAGAGCACAAGGGTGCCTAGTGTTTCAGGGAAGTTTAGTATCTGTTTTGTTTTTATATCTTCCATTTTTTTAACTGTTCCACTTTGTGAAGTAGCATATAATTGTTGCCACTAATAATTTAGTTCTGCTCATTCCTTCTCATTGTTTTGTTTTGACATTCCTTGAAAATGTTTTGGGATGTAAGATGAACTTCTGTAGTAAAGCTTTATTACATAATGCTTTGTAAGTTACTTACTGGATGTCTGTAAACATTAGTAGATAATATTAGTTGAAAAAAATTTTTAAGATTTTATTTATTTATGGTCAGATGGAGAGGGAGCGTGCACACAAGCAGGGGGAGCAGCAGGCAGAGGGAGAAGCAGACTTCCTGCTGAGCAGGGAGCCTGATGCAGGACTTGATCCCAGGACCCTGGGATCATGACCCAAGCTGAACGCAGACACTTAAACTGCTGAACCACCCAGGCGTCCCTAGTTGAAATTTTCTACTTTGCTATTTTTTTTTCATATTTCTCACAGGTGTGTCAGAATAGTGCTATTCCCTTTCTCTAATATACAGCATTATTATTCAGGCCCTGGTGTGCTGAAGTGTTATTTTAAGGCGTATATGCTCACATTATGACTATATTGTTAATACTATGCTAGGTTTTAAGAATTGTTTCTCTTAGAAGAGCCTGAAAAAGTTTCTGTAGACATATTTTCTTCAGAATTGGTTGCAAATTTGGGCTGTTACTTGAATTTGCACTTTTCTCCAGTGTTTTTTAAACTCTAAATGGCTTATGGAAACTGGGCAGTACTACTTGTTTGACAAGTTTGGATGTGCCAGTCTAATTTACTATGAATCTTTCTAAGTCCGTATCTATGTGCAAAATAAATAACTTAATTTTGAAGGAGTTAAGATATATCTGTGCCAAAATAAAGACTTTACAGATGAAAGAACTAAGTTAAAAATCTGTACATCTCCAGGGGCGCCTAGGTGGCTCAGTGGGTTAAGCTGCTCCCTTCGGCTCAGGTCATGATCTCAAGGTCCTGGGATCAAGCCCCACATCAGGCTCTCTGCTCAGCAGGGCGCCTGTTTTCCCCTCTCTTGTGATCTGTCAAATAAATAAATAAAAATCTTTTTTTTTGACAGACAGAGATCACAAGCAGGCAGAGAGGCAGGTGGAGAGAGAGGGAGGGGGAAGCAGGCTCCCTGCTGAGCAGAGAGCCCGATTTGGGGCTCGATCCCAGGACCCTGGGATCATGACTTGAGCTGAAGGTAGAGGCTTTAACCCACTGAGCCACCCAGACGCCCCTAAATAAAAATCTTTTTTTTTTTTCTTTTTAAAGATTTTATTTATTTATTTGTCAGAGACAGAGGGAGAGAGAGCGAGCGAGCACAGGCAGACAGAGGCAGAGGGAGAAGCAGGCTCCCTGCCGAGCAAGGAGCCTGATGTGGGACTCGATCCCAGGACGCTGGGATCATGACTTGAGCCGAAGGCAGCCGCTTAACCAACTGAGCCACCCAGGCGTCCCTAAAAATCTTTTTAGAAATATCTATACATCTCTGAAAGCTTATAAGAAATCTTTTCTTTTTTTTTTTTTTTAAGATTTTGTTTATTTATTTGACAGAGAAGAGAGACAGCAAGAGAGGGAAAACAAGTTAAGAGTGGGAGAGGGAGAAGCAGGCTTCCTGCTGAGCAGGGAGCCTGATGTGGGGCTTGATCCCAGGACCCTGGGATCATAACCTGAGCCGAAGGCAGACGCTTAACGACTGAGCCACCCCAGGTGCCCAAGAAATCTTTTTATAGGAAAGAAAATACTTGCTGCAAATAATCTGAAAAAGGTTAAATGCTATTGAGATGGATCTTTTCTTCATATTGAAGAACTCAATATGTTTTTCATTGAATTGATCCTGTTTGATGGTTTAAAAGTTACAACTCTTTGCAGACATAATACAATTAAATGAGACTATCATTGGTAATAGCAACTAAACTGAAGGTTGCTGGAGCTGGAGACCCTCATCCTCTCCAATACCCCCATTTTGACAGAACCTAAGGACTAGAAAGATTCAATGACTTGCAGAGGTCACTGACAAAATTTATAGAGTAACAGATCCTTTGGCTTTAGATCAATATCCTTTTCCACTGTACTACACTATTTTCATTTTCTTTTTCTTTCCTCCTTCCTTCCTTCCTTTTTAATATCTAGGTAATCTCTACACCCAGTGTGGGGTTTGAACTCATAACCCTGAGGCCAAGAGTCGTGTACTCTACCGACTGAGCCAGCCAGGCACCCCTGTTTTCCTTTTCTTCTTTTTTCCTGCTATTTTCTCTTATAGGAGTTCTTTCAAGTAGAAAAATGGCTTTGGGTTTGTTT